CCCAATCTATTTACCCACTTTCCCACTATGCGGCTCCGGGCACATTCCCGCCTTCTGGAGTGGCTTCCTTGTGGGCGGCTGGAATAAAATAGCTCCCAGGAGCACAGGCTCTGGCTGCAAGAAGGCTCTGCCCACAGCAGTGAATGGAAAACAGAGGAGGTGAGAGGACTTCATAATACTAGAGACCCCAGACCCGAGTTCTCCCTGTCCCTATTCCTCTCAACATGCAACTCATCACCCCGTGTCTGAGCTGCCTTGGTTTCCCTGTGCTGGCCTCATCACAAGCCTGGGACAGAATGGGGCAAGTCAGCAGCTGTCGGAAGTTTTCCATCAAGTTCCAGGGTCCCCGGGGAAGGCCAAGCCTCATGCCAGCTGCTTTCCTTGGCAGTGGATGCTCTGATCTCCTTGCCCGTCCTTCCAAGCTCTGCCTGTGTCTTACTGATTGAAGTGCCCTGTCATTGGCTACTCCTTGTGATCTGCACTACCAATATTTCCTACTGTTTGCCGTTTGTCTTTAGTCTTGTTTATAGTAATTCCTTTTGCTTTGGAAATAAAAGAGTCTTTTAGTTTGTTTTATATAAAAGTTGTTTTTATATAAATATGTCTCAGCATGCAATGTGGGTAACTCTCATTTTGGTGTAAATGGGAAGAGGTAAGGCAAGGTTCTCACTGCTGTGTAACCCTCTTTTTAAAAAAATTATTTATTTTACTATTGTTTAGTTAGGAAGAGTGCACGCTCTCTAATTATGGTGAGGAAGTTTGAGGTATGGAGGAAGATAGGTGGGACAAATGTTTCAATTCTTTTATTCTTTTTTTCCTCCTGTGTCCACAAGCAGGAAAGGGAGGGGGCTGCTAATTATGCCAGGCTACATCAGCACCCAGGGATGGAGGATGGTCATTTGATGACACCCTAGAGACCCCAGTGTGGGGAAAAATGTTCCGGGGTGTTACTTGAGTGCTTTGATAGTTCTGAGACATTGTCAGTTTCATTACACCAGGGTTGAAAAAAAAATATTTCCAAGGCCTATTGGCTGACCAAGTCCACCTTAGTGTATTCACACCCCAAGACATTTGGTGCAAAGCTTGGCCAGGAGACTTGTCTGAACTGTTCTGTTTTCCATCCTCTGATGGGGCATTTGACGTCTTTTGCCAGCCTAGATGAGCTAGCTGTCATGTTCCCTGTGTGCATCTAGGCATGCTGTCCAGTGCATAGGCATCAGCAACTGAGGAGGCCCAGTGCCACTACATGCACTCCAAGGTGGGACCATATAGATTGTGCTTTTCCCTGTGGTCGGGGTTTGAGTCCAGTGATCTAGTTGGGGAGGCTCCCCAAGAAGCCTTGTCTGGGGTGACCTCAGACTTGACTCTCGTGTCAGCCAGTGTAGCACGCGTGAACCTCTTTTATTCCTGAGCAGCCTGTTGGAACCAGTTGTGGGGACTGGTACTGTGGCGTAGTAGGTTAAGTTGCTTTTCTGCTTGCAGCATCAACATCTCATATGAGTGCTGGTTTGAATTATGCCTGCTCTTTGTCCAAGCCAGCTCCTTAACCAGTGCACCTGGGAAAGCCACAGAAGACAAATGAGATTGACCACAAAAGGATCAGTAGTTAATTGCCCTGTTAAAAAGATTTCATTGTTTCTTAAAACCAAAAAGTAAAAATATATAGCAAATAACACAAAAGTAATGAGTATGAGATTAACTAGTTAGTAAAGTTTTGTTAATCTCTTTAAAGTTTTACTATTTCTGAGGCCTAATCTTCTGCCTTGTAGTGCCAGCATCCCAGATGGGTCCTGGTTTGTGTTCTGGCTGTTCTACTTCCAATCCAGCTGTCTGCCTGTGGCCTGGGAAAGCAGCAAAAAATAGCTCAAGTCCTTGGGACCCTGCAGGCACTTGGGAGACCTTGAGGAAGCTCCTTATTCCCAGCTTCAGAGCAGCTCAGGCTTGGCCAGGGCAGCCATTTGGGAAGTGAACCAGCAGATAGAAGACCTTCTCTCTATGTAAAATCTGCCTTTCAAATAAAAATAAATAAATCTTTTAAAAATCTACTGTTTCAAGAAACCAAAAAGTAAAAGCAAATGAAAATTATTAAGCAATAACTGAATAAATAACAAAAATTTCAAAGAGAATAAGAGGAGCTACAAGTAGCAGCTCCTACTTCTGAGTTGTCCTATCTCATGAAGTATGAGAGTATTTCACAAATTTCATGGACAGTACACATCTTTCAAATCGATTATTCTACCAACTTCTTGAAGACCCATGAAAGGCAGATGGTCCTGCAGCCCCCTGCAGCACTATGGTCAGTACAGTTGTTGTCCCCAGTCCAGTCAGCCATTAGCAGGTAGAGCCATTGCAAATGTGTCCCTTATGGATAGTCATGAGCCTCTGTTTTCATGCTTGCCTCCCTTAAACTTGAACTTCCCCTTACTTTCCAACCAAAGGTGGATTTCTGGAGCATGGCAGAGCCTCCTCTCCCTCATCCTCCAAGCCCTTCCCACCACACCAGGGTGAGCAGCCAGAGGGAGAATTGAAGGCTGGAAGTCAAGCAGCCTGAGCTCTGGTGCTCTGCTCCAGTGTCTTCATCTGCAAATGGGAGTAAGATGAAGACTCAGCCCAGGATTCTCAGAAAGGAGAAATGGGGTGCTCAAGAGAGCTACCATGTAGCCTATACAGTTGCTGAATAAGTAAGTGAGGATGCATGTGTATACATGACTCTGTGTGTATGCCTACATCTAAGTATTTAGCACAATGCACGCCTGCCTTAGGACATTGGAGGCCCGCAGAGAGAAACGTGCATGCTTAGACAAGCTTGAACAAGAAAATCAGGTAATTTAAAACTGATAAAATATATAAGGAGGAAAAAACTAAAGATTCATTCATTTATTTGAATGGTAGTTAGAGAGATGATGGCTCAACAGAGGGTGGCCCAAGAACTTGGATCCCTGCCACCCAGATGGGAGATGGGGATATATCCCAGGCTCTCAGCTTCAGCCTGGCTCAGTGTGAACCAGTGGATGGCAGGTCTTTTCTTTTGCTCTATAATTCTGTTTTTCAAACAAATAAATCTTTCAAAAAATGTTGAGCGAAATTACAAATTCAGTTTGAGTAGCATCAGCCATTTGGGAAGGGCTTAAGAGCTACCATGGGACAGGGGCCACCGTGTTGGGTAGCACTGGCATTGAATGTGTCCATCATCACAGAGCATCCCATTATAGCCACCTGATTCTAGATAACTCTAAAACTCTGGAAAATATAAGTGAATGCAAGACTCAAACTCATCAGATACTGCATGGATTTTTTTTAAAATTAAATATTATTTCATAATGCTATTTGCACCATAGCACACACATGTTCTGAAAAATAAGACATGCCATATTGGTCACAAAGTTAACAAAATATAAGCAGCCACATGGAATACAATGTAAAGTGACTTCATTTACGCAGCTTCTCAGACTATTGGACCCGGTTTGGAAGTCCCAAGACTGCAGGGTGAGGCGATCCACTGCTCTGACGAGCGACCTGAGTTCCCATGGTGTCCCAGCTGGTCACTCTGCACTGGAAAAGCAACATCAACGCCAGCCTTGCCTCTCCCACCCGGAGTTCTAGTCCATGCTGCAAAAACCCTCAAAACCTAGAGCTTCACATGATGTCATTGTCAGACCCACACCCGGGCTGTGAAGAGCTTGCTCTAACATCAAATTGGGAAACCCAGAACCCCAGCCTTTAGAAGAGGGAGACAGTTCGGGATGGGAGGAGGGAAAGAACAGAATATGACAGAAGTGTATGCCCAAGTCTGGGGACCATGCCCTAGGGTCCTGGCTGCTAGGAAGGAACAAGCTACCTAAATGTCAGAGTGTCCAAGGGGGCTGGTGACATCATCATGCCAAGCAAGAGCAAAGAGTGGGGACTGTGAATGCCAGAGCAGTGCTCCTTTTCCCTGAACCAACAGCAAGGGCCAGACTGCCACTTGTGCCTGGTTCACAAACATCTTGTGACAGAGCCCAGGGGCAGCTGGCTCACGGCAGACCCAGGAGTCTTAGAGATGAGGGCTCGACATCCACCCTTCTCCCCATGGCTCAAGTGTCCAGTGTTCACTCAGGGAATCGACATGCAGCTTCTTGCCCAGCCTCTGAAGACTCAGCCTTGCAGGATGGCGCTGTTCCTCCTGGCAGGAAGGCAGGGCAGCTTCTGGGAGTCTTCCATCCATTCCATGGAGGAATGCCAGTTGGCCCGTTCAGAGAAAGGAAGAAAAGGGGACGGAGGAAGGTTAGGAGCAAGAGTTAGGCCCAAATGCTTAGGGATCACTTGGATGTGACCTTCGAAGTGGCTTCCATGATCATCTTCAGTGTATCTACACTCTTCATACCCTTAACCTTAGAGAAAAATCCTTCTAAATTGTGCAAGACCAGAATGGCAGCCAAACATGCTTTTAATTCCCCCTTTTGTTTTGTACCTACAGGCTCAGAGTTGGGCCTGGAACCCAACTCTGGGTTGGGACCTATTAGCCTTCCTTTTCTTCCTCTGTGCTCCTTTCCAGACATGGCTGACCCTGCCATTCTTCTTTTCTGGAATCATCAATGGTTCCCATGCCCCCTGCCAGGCATCCTCCAACCTCTGCAATGTGCTCTTCTGTGTCTTACCTGCCCCCCTTGCTTGGCCCAGCCCTGCTCCTAGTCTCTGGCCTTCGTAAAGGCAGGCCCCTCTGCCTTGGGATCATCGTCCCTGTCTCCAGGCTCTGCGCATGTCACAGGTGAGTTGCTGCCTCCAATTCTCCATACACCTTTGTGTTTGGAACCCAACCTCGAGCAGCATCTCCGCAGTGTATGGAAAAAATAGAATTAAAAGATTATTCAGGTGCCAAAAAATATTTGAAATCCAGCCCTGTTTTTTTTTTCATTATACACATTTCATAAGCTTTTTGAAGACCCCTGTTCCCAGAGACACAGGACTTTTGAAATATTTTTGCACCAAAATAAATTTAGCTTCCATTCCATTCTCTTCTGTCTTCTTGGCGCTCCATCCTCTGGATACTTAACACACAGTTCAAGGATGAAGCCAACTGTTGCCTTCTTGGATCTCTCAGACATTACACAGCAGGGTTATTGCAGCAACAGATGGGAGTCTTCAAAAGCAAGGGACCGAGTCAGCAGAAAGCACCACCCACAGATGCACCATCTCTGAACACTGGTCTGGGAACACTGTGGGTTGGGAGCTGCCTTGGGAAGCAGCAGGTGCAATGGAAGAGGTGCCTTGTGAGAGGGACAAGGCTACAGCTTGGGAGCAGTAGGCCAGAGTACAGGTACAGATTGGGAGAAACTGGGGTCTCAGCCTACGGTCTCCAGACTCCAGAGTCAAGGTTAACTGCAGAGTCAGTTCTGAGTGCCCTCTACTCAGCACCCTGCAGCTAGGGGTGGGAGAATGCCTTCTAAGTGAACTCCCAGGGATATCCATGCTCCTCTAGGTTGCCAAAGCTCTCCTTGTCTTCTTTGACAGGCTGCTATCAGTCTAAGGGAATTCTATTGTGCCACGGCTGGGGCAGGTTTGTGAAGGCTGAATTCTCCTAGACCTGCAGGTAGGGCCAGAGGACCCCAGTGACCTGAAGCAGTGTTAGTGGGTGGCTCTACAGAGGAGAGAAGGCAGCTCTCCACAGTGAGCCCCGCCCCATTTGGATCTTCCTGGGGGGAGGGAGAAAGGAGGTGGGCGGGGGGGGGGAGGCAGGAAAAAAAAAGTAACCCATTAAACAGCCAGAAGTTCTGTCTCCTTTACATGCCATGCATTTGCATTCTGGAAGATTCAGAGAGTTTTCTCCCTTTGTGGTTAATGTCTCAGCCCCTTGCTCCTGCCCCTCCTATTTTCCTCCCTCTTTTTCTGACTTCTTAGCTCCTTGCGGGCGGGGGGGGGGGAGGGTTAGGGGAGGAGAGGTTTGGGGTACAGCCACCATGAAGTTACTGTGGGCCCAGACCCAGGCCAGTTTTCCGAGTGGATCCTTTATACACACATGAAGTGCGTCTCCATCAGACATTTAGCAGGCAGGCATACCTGGTCAGAGCATGGATGCCACTGCACACAAGGATTTAGGAGTGGGATGGGCTGAAGCGGACATGCATGGCAGGCAGGGGAAGCCGGGAGACACGAGTCACACCAGTCTTCCGCTGGATTTGCACAATGAGAATGCAGTCTCTGCCTCACGCTAGCTCTAGGCAGGCAATGTGCAAAACCGAGACAACCACCCCGTGTCTACTGTGTCCGCCCGTTACTGTCTCAGTTAAAAAAAAAAAAAGCAGACTTGGAAAAGCAAGAATCAGGGGCAGACCACTGTTAGGTGCGCCTAAGCGGTCACAAATCCGGGATAGGTGAACCTCATTCTGGAGGAGCTCATTCTTTCTTGTGTTCCAGAACTCGGTAGGGAGCCCCAGAGGTGTTCCTGGAGCCGTGTTCTTCTTGCATGACTGGCAGTGTGGCAGGTGCGTAGATCTCAGAGATGGTGTCATTGTTTTCCAGGGCTCCGTAGGAAAAAGACGCCTTGAGGTCGGGCTGCACTGCCATCCCCTTGTCATGCATGTTTTGCATACCTGGAATGAAATCCATTTTTCCCAAATCATGATGTGCTCAGGGACCCGCAGAGACTCTAGCTTGCCCTGACCCCATCCCAGGCTAACGCCAGTGTGCAGGAGCTAATCCTGTGCGTGCTCCATTTCCTGAATGTGTTAGATGTCGAACAGGACATCTGTAAATCTACACTAGAAATATCACAGTTGCTAGGCAACACGGGATGAGTCTTCAGGAAACCGACCCGTGGCCCAACCACGAGGAGCCATCAATTGACCGAACGTGAAGCAGGAATGTCAGTGGGGGCCCTGGGGGAGGGGAATCAGCCCTGTGCCGTGAGCGTGGTAGATGCCCACGGAGGATCCTAATCAAGGTCCAGTACACACAGCAGGCCTGTTAAGGCAAGAGGCTGGCGTTTATGTCAGAGACACCTGTGGGAGGCAGGCGCATTCCAGTGTGTCTGGGGACAGTGTGACCTTGAACAGGAACATCCTTGGTCCACAGATGGGGGAAACATGACTTGCTGAGCACTTTTGGGCACACGGATGTCTGGTTTCCATTCACATTTAAGGACAGATACCCTGATGGCTGTAATCTTATTCTCCTACTCCACTGGTTAGGAGACCTACTTCCTTTTGAGCCCACCTTTGTTTCCTGGCAGAGAATTAGAGCTCTTCAAATTGACCTGCCCCCAGTCTAGATTGGAGTGTGTTGCATGCAAAATGTCTTCCTAGAAGCTTCCTGGCCCTGGGAAAGCACTTGAAATAGTAACAGTGGCAGCATCCATGCTGGTGGATGGGCCATTTAGATGGTGAAAGATATGGCTCTAAACAGTCATGTGGTTTTAGTTCATTTGATTCTCCTGGTAACTTGCAAAGAGGTTGACTAACTTGCCTGATCTCCTACAGCTGGCTAATGAACACAGGATTCAGATGGGGAGGTCCTCCAAAGCCCATCCTGGTGTCCCTCCTGTTTGGTTCTCCTGATCCCCAAACAGTCCCATGACAGGGATGAGCTACTATCCTTATTTTCAGGATGAGAAAACAGACTCTCAGAGAGGTAAGGGAACTGGCTTGAGGTCACCCAGTAAGATAGAATAACCTTTAACACCAGAGCTTGGACTCTCTTTTCTGACCCATTCTGCAGCTGGCCTGGGAAGATTGCCACGTCTCCTTGCCTCCATTCTGCACCAGACATCGCTGATGAAGGGCCCAGTTTATGAGCCTGCAGTTTGTACTGGTGGGGTGGGCAGAGAGTGTATGAGAAAAAGTCAGTGTATGGATAAGCGTTTCAACTGTCAATACCCTCCAGCCAAAGAGTCTGTGACATGTATGGACTCAGAACACTGAGGGAGTTGTGTGCTGTGGGGGAAAGACCCGTGGGACGAAGGCTCAGGTTAGGTGATTTGGGGGAGGGTCCATGGAAGTGAGGCTTTGCTTCAGAATGAGAGGAGTTAGCGAGCTGGGATAATTCTAAAACTGGGGAAGTTCCCAATTCTTTCTAGATGGACAGAAGACTGGAATGAACCTCAAGCTAGGACTGCTGAAGAAATAGCAGTTTCTGCGATAAGCCAGGCCAGGCAGGTGGTCGAGCCTCTGTTGTGGTTTGGGCAGCATTCATAGTTCACCTGTGCTGGAGGTGTTTCTGGAAGGGCCTTGGATCCTGCCACAGTGCAAAGGAGGTGAGGCTCCCGTGGCACATTCAGGGTTGGGCCACAGAACACTGAGGCCCTGCTGTGGGTGGCCAGGCCAGCACTGGGACGTCACAGGGTTTTTCTCACTGAGAAGAAGCCTTTGAGTTGTGTGAATTACTCAGTTTCTCCAAATTGTGATGTGCCCTGGCTTGTTGATGGCTTTCAGCCTGCTGGGGCGACACCAATCCAGGCAGATGGAAGGGAAGCGCCGTGTGCCGGCCAAGGAGGAGGAGTGGGTTGAAAAGTCACCCTAGAAGTGGTCCAGCTGTTTGGTTCTGCATGGGAAACCATGAACCCCACGAACTTCCTGGGGCTGCCTAGCATACTAACAGCCCGTAATAGTTCTTTGCATACCTGTCACATAGTAACTTGCAATCGTATAAAGTTGTTTTGGCAACCAAAAAAAACCCTCTGAGTTATTTTCCCAGGGATCCTGAGAAAACGGGGCAGAACCAGCTGCAGCCAGCTCTGGAACTGGAGCTTATGCAGATGGGCTTAGACTGGCTGGAGAGTTACCTGCTGGTTCATTACAATGTTAAACGCTACAATCTGATGCTACCTTTGAGATAACATCTGTAACCACATGATCTGTCAAGGTACCAGCTCCAGGAACTTTCCTCTGTCATGTTGTATCACCTTGTGCCACCCAATTCTGTCCCAATTCCCTTAACTCCATAAATTCCCAAGCCCTATCTGTGCAGGCAGATTGACATGGGCCTCACTGTATCCTACCCTATTCTTCCACAGACCTGCAGTCAAAAAAGCATCCTGTTGCTCAGAAGGTGAATCCAGTATTTTGGTCATTAAGAGAGGTGTGCACATGCAAGGCCCTTAATGGTAACACATGCCAAACAAGTGAAACTTTCCAGGGTTTTCAAAGCAAAAGGGGTGGAGACCAAATTTAAAACCGGGCATCTACCATGTCCCAGACACTGTGTAAGATGCGTTTGCAGACACCAGGGTTCCACCATGGAGCAGGAAGTTCAAAGACAAGTTTACTTTGGTGCAAAAATTTTTGAAACCCATGCAGGGTTTTTTTTCCCGTAATATCATTTTCCACAAACTTTTTGAAGGCCCAGTATGATGTGGTTTCAATGTGTTTTTTTACACTAAAATAAACTTATCTTTTGAATCTATTTTGCATGATCTTTTCGAAGTATCCTCATCAGATTCTGTCCCCTCTGGAAGAAGGAAATCCTGTTGAGGCTGAAAGGCCTGGGGGCTCACCCAGGAGGTGGGCAGTAGAGCTGGGTTTGAATCTAGTCCTCTGAACTCCAAGACCATACTTTCATAGCACAAAACATGTGTTAAGCAGAAGGGGCCCAACAGCCATGGCCACAGGCCCGGGTTTCCTTGCTTCAGCATCTGACTTCCCACTGGGTTCAAGGAGTACACCAAGAGCCCCACCCACAAACCAGAAGGTTAATGTCTAAGGTAACCTTAGGTGACCTTCTATTGTCTCCCGGAAAGCATAAACATATTGTATATATAGATGCATGTGTATATCTCTGTACAGATATTTGTATATACATACACACACAGACACACACAGTTCATAAACCACAAACACATACACATACTTGCACACAGAGTTGACACCTCACCTATCTGGAATTCTGCTATCCAGCGCCCTCATCTATCCGGAACACAGCCGAGAAACAAGGAAGTAAGCAAAAAAGGCATCTGAGCAGCCAGGTTAGATGTTCAACAAGTCCATGCACTAAAAGCTCATGCACTTAACTTCTGGGGAGGTGGTGGGGATCTTAGGACCCCAACCCAGGGTTAGAACACACTGGGGCACACAAGGAGACTGTCATGGAGTTGGTATCCTTAGGCAGGTGGGCTGGTAATGGCAAGAATGACAGACAACAGCTTTAAAACAAGACATGAGGAAATGATCCAGAAGGCTGACTGTGCACCCTGGGGCCACTGCACATCGGAGCACCTCGGTCCACCCTGAGAGCACACTTACAGCCCAACAGGTGCATCACACCTGCTCCTGCCACAGGACACACCGAACCATCCACGTATCTCTCAGGGGATGTTGATGGAGCCTGGGAGACTGTATTGTGGAAAGTTCCATCTCCCAGGGGCCGGTCCAATGCCTCAGCTTTTTTCTAATCCCTTCAGATGCTCTCCACTTCTCCATAAGCCCCACTACTCCCTCTTGGCAGTGCTTAGGTTATTATCAAGCCCTTGAGCAATACTGTTTCTCGGTAGGAATCCTTCCTTTGCTGCCTGGGAAACAAGATTTCCAGAACAAGCTACTTCCTCATGGAATCAAGGGAGGGAGGGAGGTTATGGTGTTTGAATTTCATTCATCCCACTTTCCTTCCCTGCTCTGATCACTCCACTGCAGTCAACATTCCTGAATGGATTTTTCCATGGGCGCGCATGGAGCCTAGTGCTGCTGATAGTCATGACATCTAGCACAAATCTGGCTTTTCTTTGAAAGATCCCAAAGGAGACACAAGGGCCAGCAAGCTGCACTCCAAGTTGACCGAGGTGCCTCGGCCACTGCCTCCGCTGCTGCACAATGTGATTAAGGAAAACGACAGAATGACAGTGAGGATGGACACACCGTGCTGGCACAGCAGCCTCTCCCGTAGCACGCCCTTTCCAGCAGGAAGCAGCAGGCATTCTACAGAATGGCCAGCTGGGCACAGGGGACACTCACGTTACCTGGCATGGCATCCATGGAGATATAGGGCTCAAATGGAATGGCCTTCTTCCTGTTTCGAGTGATGAGGAAGACACCCAGGAAGGCAATAAGGCACCTGGGCATGGGAGATAGCAGAGGAAGAAAAATCAGACTGGGTGGGGATGGGGTTTGAGGTGGCTAAAGGAACCCTCCCACCCCACGTGACCAGAGTAAGGTCAATGAAGGCTTGTAGGTCAATGAGGCAGCTGGGTTCCCGAGCAGCCAGGAGTAGGTGCAGTGGGCATAGGGAAGGGCTGAGCAGCTCTGCACAGCCCACGCTCTGCCCTGCGCTCCACGGCTGCTATGATCAGAACAAACAGTCACTCTATTGTATTGTTTAGATGTTATGGGAAAAAAAAATCTACATAGGTTCAGAAAGAGATGATGTTTAAAACCTAGTTTTGGTATGTGGTTGGTGGAATTCGATGCTACAGCGGGCAGACTATACCTTCTTCTGGAGGACTATTTGCTTTTGAAGATGTTCCCTGTTACTTCTGTAGGCAAGCACCCCTCCTACAAACTGACATGGGATTCCTATCCAGGGAAAGACACAGCCTAAGGTAGAGCTAGGTGAACTGTACTTGTGTGAGCAACCCCCAGTCAAGATGGAAAGCATTTCCACCCCCTCCAAAAGCTTCCTGGTCCCCTGCCTGACTCCTTCCAACTCTTCCCTGGAGATGACCCCCCCTTCCCTCACCACAGATTGTTCTAGAAATCTCTTAAATTTAATCACACAGTGTATTTTTTCTTTAAGTCTCTTTCACATGATGGAATTTTCCCAAGATCTTTCTACTTTATGGCATGTATGGATGGCTCAGTATTTTAAATACGCTGGAGACTTCACTGTTTAAATACGCTGTGTGTTTCTCTCCAATGCCAGTAATAGGCACTTGAATTGTTTTCAGTTTGGGCCTCTGATGAATGAAGCTCATGTTAGTACGCATGCCCAAGTCATTTTGTCAACACAGATGACTTTGGTGGGGTTTCTTTGGAGTGAAAATCTAGAAGTGTGATTGCTGGGTCATAGGGCAGGCCACAATTGAGGAAAGTTCGTGCCTTTTCCATGAACTGCACATTTGTGCTTCTGTGTCCCCACTCGAGTACTTTTCTCAAGACAAACGATGAACAATGGAACCTTGCACCTGACAATATGCTCATTAGAGGTTTTGGGTTGATATTGCCCACACCCACCCACCCACTGGACACTCAAGAACTACCAACAGGTGGTGATGGGTGGGGCCATATCCTCTGGCCCATCTACTCGCGCTTGCAAAATGACAGGGTCTTGGGTGGCTTGAAGCTGTATGGCTGAGTTCTGAGGCGAGGATGAGTCTTTTTTGTGTATTCAAAAGTGATAATGACAAGGAGAGCAAGGCCACAGGAGAAAGAAGACAGGGACAGGTACTCAGAGGAGCAAAACACCTCCAGGTCAAAGCTGCAGAAGCCCTGACCCTGACCCTAAAGGCAGAGGCAGTAGCAGGGGCAGCGGAAGCTGATGGGCATGCCCTGCACCGTCCTGGGCAGCAGCTGGCCTGACTCACCCCAGCGCAAACATGCAGATGTGCAGCACATCCTCCCCGATGAAGTCCAGGTAGAAGATGGCACCTGCGGTGGCCGGGGACAGAAGTCACAGGAACAGAGTGAGCTGCTTCCAGCTGCACGCCTGGGTCTGGCTGCCTCTTTCAACTGCACTTTCTCCGAGGGTCGATAGGTGACCACGGTGTGCTGAACGTGAAGGTAGACTCTGCCTCCTGGCAGAGGCACAGCCCCCCACCCCCACCCAAGGGTGCTGCTCAGGCAGGAGACAGCAACTCAGCCACCAGAAACCAGGCTTACCTGCTGTGATGGCCACGGTTGTGGACAGGATGTAGCCCACGCTGGCAATCAGGGAGGAGTCGTACATCTGGGAGGCTTGACTCAAAAACCTTCAGCACAAAAGCACTCAGTCAGTGGCTGTGGAGATGGCAGACAGGTGACAGCAGCAGGGTGCCTTTGGAGCCAGGAGGCTGATGTGTGAAGGAGCACTTCCCTGGCATGATGAAATACCATCCTGGTAGGGAGTCCTGGGGAGCCTACATCTGGGACCCATGCTTCGCTCTCCTTCCCACAAACCCACAACCCAAGACCCATCCCCACCCTGAGTGACCACGTGGTCCCTGTCACCTGAAAGCCCGTTTTCATGCCTGCAGCTCCACTCCACTAGTAAGACCCCTTTATGAGTGTCCCACATGCCTCATCTCAGAAACATCCTGCCTAATGTTGCAATGCTTTTTTAGAAATAATTTTTTTTTCTTAATTGAAAAGCAATATGATGACTTGAATGCATACAAGAACAAGAGGGATAAGATTAGTGTCATTTCTCATCCCCTTGGCCCGTCATTATCAACGAGGTCTTCAATCTGCAATAGGCTCTGGGTCTCCGCACAGCCTTCCAGTTCTTGCACATTGCGTATATTTTACTCAACTGTGGTCTGCAGCCACTGAGCTGCTGCTCCACTCACTGGGGCCATGAGGGCCCCAGGGGGCAGTGGCTACTGTTGTGTGACAGGGGAAGGGAGTTCGGCTGTCTGAGTGAAGGAGGTGGGCATCTTTATAACCCTGGGGTCTCAGCACAGAGCTTGCACCTACAGGGGCTCCCTGGTGAGGACTGAGATTGTGACTGCACTGAAAATAGCAATGATCATGGCAGTTGCTGCCAAGGCCACAGAACCAGCAACTTTCTACTTGACATCACCCCAGGACGTGCTGAGAAGGGGCTGCTGCTCCCCTCTGAAGATGAAGAACCTGGGTTGTGGAGCATGGAATAGGGGCAGGGAGGAGGCTCCCTTCTAGGTGCTTAGGCTCTTTGCTTAGGATACGAGGGGGAACTTCAAATGAATCCATAGAAAATGCAACTGAAAGGCAAATTGACTTGGGTGCACAATTTTTGGAAAGCCATGCATGAGTTTTTGGGAGCATATGTTTGCTACAAACTGAAGACTTCTTGTATCATCTACCCCTTGAGTGTGCTGTGAGGATCAAAGGAGTTGGTTCTGTCAGCACTGGGAGCAAAGCTGGCATCCACTGGACACCACCTGCCCTTCTGGTGGGCATGAGCCCAGCCCAAGCTGCCCAGGCTGTAGCGGCTCAAGTTCTGGGCCATGGCCCTGTGTGCTAATAATCTTCCTGGTGCACATGCCCCTTCCCAGGTCCTCTGTGGGCAGCAGGGCCCCGACAGAGCAGTGCACAGACCTGCTGCTCTCTACTTAATTCTTGCATTCTGGGAAGGAAGTGAGCACCTTGTTCTTGTCCTTGGGGAGATACCATGAAGACAGAAGGTGACAACTTTTATGTTCTACTCTCAGCCAAGTAGGTACCCCTTCCCTTCCCAGGGCCTGCAAACTGCCTCTGGAAGTCCCAGAGATGGACAGCAGCCTTGCAGAAATTGGGGTAGGCTGCCTGCAGAGACCTTGTAGTCTCCAAAATTTGAAGCCCTGGGGTATAAGATAATGGCCCTTGCAGGCTTCCAGTGTCAGGTGAGCGGCACAGACTCCCACCCATGGGACAAGGCAGGAATGGCCACTCCAGGGTTCCCAATCACCTGAGTGTTCTGCCTTCCCTTCCCCATATCTTCAAAACCATACATGGGTGGGGGGACCTCTACATGGAGGAGACCCACGTGGGTGGGCGACAACCAATGGGAGAAGCACAAGCGACTCACGCAGCCTGGTAGATGGCGGTGGCCACCATGCACACAAACATGACGTAGAAGATAGGGTAGTCGAGCTGCAGGTCCCCTTGGATGGACAGGACCAGCATTCCAGATACAGCCTTGACTGTCACCACTGTCATGGAGCCTGCAGAGGATGAATGGGAATGTGGAAGACTCAGGATGCGCAAAGGCCATCAGTAACAACCCAAAGGGTGTGATGACAGGGAGAAGACATGGCTGTTAGGTCTGTGTATGATTCCTATGGGTGCTTACGGCCTGTGCTGCCACACCACAGAATGGAGGAGAGTGGACACCAAGAGCTGTGGCCGGTTCCCACTGAGCATGGGCAGCTTGCTCCTGGCACTGTGCCTGGAACACATTGGGGACCCAGTGGGCACTGAGTGACTAAGTGCCCTTCCCAGTGATCCCAGAAAGGCCGGCAGGATGAAGACTGCCCAGGGTTGGCGGTGGTGATGATGGGTAAAGGCTGGGCCACCTGTGCTGTGACAAATACTTCTCTATGTTGGAATGTGCACTCCCTACATGTTATTCATACACGTGGGTTTGCACATCTTACACTTGCAATCCTATGTGACTATGGGACGATCACGCTCAAATATGGACAAAAAGTGTCATTCAAAGCGTGGAGGGAAGAAGCTACCCTTAGTTTCTGATTTCTTTTTTTTTTTTTTCTAAGACACCCAGTGGGCTGTCAGGCTCACAACACTAGAGAGGCCCTTACCAGCTTTACTCAATGGTACATTTGGACATGACTTCTGGCAGCTGTCCTATGCCTCCACCCAAACAAAGCCAGCTTGGGGTGGGCATTGACTTAGAAGTCATCATGCTGCTGGGATGTTTGTATCCCACAGCAGAGCCTGCGTTCGAGTCCTGGCTCTGTCCCTGACTCCATCACCTGTGAGGCAGCAGGTGAGTGCCTAAGTACTCAGGCACCTGCCACCCACATGGGAAACCCAGATGATTTAGGCCTGTTCAACCCGAGCTGATGCAAGTATTTAGGGAGTAAACCAGTGGGTGGGAGATTTATTTTTTTCAAATAAATTTAAAATTTTCTAAAAGCCCTCCCTCATTCTGTACCCCATCTCTCGGGAGTTACTCTGTCTTCTTGTTTCTCTCTGCTACTGCTGAGCTTCTCTGCCAACAGCCCACCATTCGCTGCAGCTCCATTCTACAGCCTCTACGTGTCCATGGCTACTTTAGACAAGCACTTGTCATCAGAAATCCTTGAGGGTGGCCAGGGGTTGGGCAGCTGCCTCAGAATCTTCTGGCTTTCCTAACTCACAAGAAGACATTTCTGGGCTGTGATTTTTTTTAGTCCACTTTGCAAATCAAGTTGCCAAAGAACGAAGGATTGATTCATGCTACAACCAGGACAAGCGGAAGCCAGATGCCAAAGGCCACAGAGTAGCAGAATTCAAAATGCAAATAGATGCCCAGGGGCAGCAGGTGAGCTAGTGGCCGCCTGAAAGGAGGGGGATTGCAGAGGGACTTTCAACAGCTGCAAGGGTTCTTTTGGGGTGATAGAATGTCCCACAATGACATGACGATGAGGATGGCTGTGCAATCCTGTGGATGCAGTTAGGTCTGCTTCAGCATGTACTTCAGAACAAGTGCATGGGAAGCTCCATGAGCTATGCCATGACAGAGCTGCTTTAAAAAAAACCACTCAAGGGGCCAGGGCTGTGGTGTAACAGGCAAAGCCACCACCTGTGACATTCCATAGGGGCACCAGTTAGAGTCTGCTGATCCAGCTTCCATTAATAATGCACCTGGGATAGCAGCAGAGGATGGCCTAAATGTGTGGGCCCCATGCATCCACATAGGAGACCTGGATGAAGCTTCTGGCTCTTAGCTTCTGCCGTGAACCCCTGCTTACCGAGCAAGGCCACCAAGAGGAGAATGACAATGATGTTGTTGGCGTTCTTTTCCTTGTAGAAGTACAGCAGCAAGCAGAAGAGCACGATCTCCAGGAGCTGTGGGAAGTGGCAAAGGTGCGGGTCATGGAGTGGGTGCCACACTGGAGACCCTGGGAGGCTTGGGCCAACTCGGGCTGCTGAGCACTGTCAGGTTATGGGCGCCGAGAGGGGCAAGGGAATGGCACAGCTGACATTTCCCAAGTACTGATCGGGGAAGGAACACGCAGAGTGCAATGCCCATCTCCAGCTGCACTGAGCAGGGATTCCCCGTTTACAGGGGAATTCTCCATTAGCCACAGGTAGGGTCCTACATCAACAGTACTGTCGGCCACACGTGTAAGGGGTGCCGGCTTCTCTGCAGCCTCCCACCATCATTGTCAGATGAAGGATGGAACAGAGCTTGGTCTTAGATGCCAAGGACTCTATCTCCAATAGCCCTGAGTTTATGGCTTTAGACCCGCCATGCTGGCACACATGGCCCACACTCAACAGAAAACTGTTGAACTTGGTTCCCTCAAATCTCCCTGGCTCACAGCTCTACTCTGCTCTGTTGGCATGAGAAAGTCAAAGAGAATCTCCACCGTGCATCCACCACTTATGCTGGGTGGGTGATACACTGCTATTATCTCCCAACAGTGCTAAGTCTAGGGGTTCTTGCCATTTAAACAAACAGAGGGAGAGTGACTTGGCTGAGGCCACACACCACACAGAGGGTTGGAGGCCAGGACTCCCTGACAAAAGATCTGTTCTAGTTTTGGTTTAACCGGAGAAGGGAGTCTCAAGCTCTGTCCGATGGATCCTGCTCCATGTCCATGAAGGAACCCTGAGTTGGATCATCCAGGAATCTGGCATGCAGCCCCACTGGCAGGATGGGTCACTCTTTGCCATCTGATGGAAGGGAATGTCCTGAGGTAGTGCAGAGTCACAGGCCATGGGGAATGAAATGACACCTGAGTCCAGGGACCTTGCCACAAGCCTGGCTCTGCCCTGTGGGCTCTGAGGAGGTCAATACAGCTCCCCAAGCCCCAGTTTTCTCATCCATGAAATGGGCAGAAAAACACACTCTATAGGATTGCAAGGAGGATGATAGTACCTAAGATAGCACCTAAAACACTGAGTATGGTACATGGAAAAAGAACCCACCAGAAGTCTTCTTGAATACCCTGGTGGTCCCCTGGCTTTGTCTGCACATCTCTACGGGGTGCGATTGGAGCAAGCGCACTGAGCACCGGCTGTGGGGAGAGATGACATTCCAGGCTCTCCCAGCTTGCTGTCAGCGTGTGATACTGCAGGGGGTGAGGAGGGATAATGCTCATAAAGCATTTAGAATATTAACTATTTTTCACCACACAAGCTAGGTGGTTGTTGTAGAAATGTTAGTAAAAGCTGAGTTATAATTCCAACTCTTGGAAAGCAGTTACTTGATGCAATTTTTGGTTCTCTGGCCCCTTACAGGTGCGCTGTCTGCACTTGCCTGGGCCTCTGAACAGAACCCACCTGTGGTTCTGGACAGCCCTCAGGACAAGAGGGTCTTGGGGATGTGAGTGAAATGCACATTTCCCCATGGACCCCACACCCTCCACAAGCTGGGTCTGCAGAGCCTCGTGGAACCTGCCAGAGGCTGCAGGATCCCCTGCAGCTGGGGACTGAGGGCTAGGGACGCAGGTTTCTGGATTCTGGGACTTGATCCCCTACTCCTCTCCAGTGCGAGTCCAGCAGCCCTGCTTACCGTGTACAGCAGAAAAGGCCAGCTCACAAGGTGCCTAGTAATGTTCTCGCCCGTCATCTTCTCGTGACTGTTGGGTGCAAAAGTCACCAGCAGGTAGGTGCCCACAACGGCCAGCCCGCAGCCAATGAAGGACAGGATGTAGCGCCCTGGGTAGTGGGGGAAGAAGAAGTCATCACTGGATTCCCTGTGGGAGTAGGCCTGGCATAGTCTGCCTCATATGACACACCATGTATAACCTGTTCTCACTTGTGCTTTTAGGTTTTCTTTACTTGAAAAAAATATATAATCCTTCTTGATTTCTGAAACAAAATAATCTCATTTGGCATAGCAGTTGAGAAGTCACCTGGAATGCTACACCCATGTTGGAATACCTGGTCTGGGTCCTGATTCTCCACTTTCAATTCAGCTTTTTTCCTGTGATACACACCCAGAGAGGCAGCAGCGAATGGCTTAAGTACTTGGGCTCATCAACCAAGCGCTAGGGTTGGATGGAGCTCCTGGCTTAGGTCTGGCCCAGCCCAACCATTACAATCATCTGGGGAGTAAGCTCGGGGATGGAAGACCTTTCTTTTTATCTATGTCTTTGTTGGTTCCTCTGCCTTTCATTTACAAGAACAACAGTATTTAAAGACTAAAAACAACATCTAATGCTAACAAGGTACTCTAATGGAGTATGCTATGCATATAGAATCCTGACAAAGCAAATGTACCCATGAAACCAGCATCCAGATCAAGAAGGAAAAAGTTAGCAGGATCCAGAATTCCTCACCCTGTGCTCCATTCCTGCTTCCCACTCCTGGGTAACTCCATCTTGACTTTGAACCACATAGATGGTTTTGTTGGGTTTTGTCCTTTATGCAGAAGGGCCTTATAGCATGTTCTAGGGCATGTGTGTGTGTGTGTGTGTGCATACATGAACACATGGGCAGCCTGACACTTGTGCCAATCTCCTTGCTGTGGCACATTCACAGTGTGAAAATGACACACTTGATCCATTCCACCCGTGCCCGTGGATGGGCACGTGAGGACTCTCCAGTCTTGGGTTATAACAGTAATTGGCTGTGAACGACCTGGCACATGCCATTTGGGAGACTCCTGCATGCACTGCAGTTGGGCACACCAACAGGGATTGCAGTGAGGACCAGAATCTCTGGTCTCAGGATCTGAACTGGGACGATTCAGCAGCTACTGCCCTGTGGACTCCCAAAGGGTCCCGGTGCTCCGGGTGCATGCCTGCTGACACTCAGGGTTGGACATCTTCGTGTTAGCCAATACTGGCATTTTATTGTTGTATAGGGAATATGTTAAAGACAGGCTCAGTTCATGGGTAGCTAAAACCAAGCAAGCAACCCATCCAAAGCAAATGTTCATGCCAGCAGGTACCCTTTAAAGAGTACCTCATCCCTTCCCCCACTGCCTAGTTAACCAACTCCCAAGGGAACTCCAGGTGCTCTCACTGTGCTACTGTGTGCACCTGCCAGGACTGGCAGCCCTCCAGGGAGTGCTGACCTGGAGGAAGCAAAGGACCTCCTGCCCCTTCCTCAGGCTGTGGCACAGCTCACTTGAACAAGCTCTGGAGGTCCAGCCAAGCCCCAGGATAGTCAGAAAGCACCTCTGGTGATCACAGGCCTTCTGGAATGTTCTGGGTTGGAACTATGTCAATATCATCCCATAGTCTCCAGAAAAGGAGATACCAGGGTGAATGTTTTTTGTTTTTGTTTTTTTCCCTTGCCAGTACAGGTTAGGCATTCCTGATCAGAAAACTCAAAATACTACAAAATCCAAAACTTACAAGTGCCAATGTAATGAGATATCACAGTGGAAAATTCCACCCCTGACCTACTATATAAGGACACAGTCAAAATACAGGTGTTTCACAAACACTGTCTGCAATTCAGACTCTGTAAATTGCTTGTGAAGCAAAAGGAAATCTCATGTTTATTCATTAACAAAGCAGAACTCTATTCTTGTGGGTTTGATTCTCTTGCTTTACAACTTGGAGAAGGAGGGTGCCTTTTATGGAGCCTCCTAAAATGCAAACAATAGATGTTCAATAAATATTGATGGGGGGGTGGTTCTGTGGTGCCACCAGGTTAAGCTGATGCTTACAATGCTGGCAGCCCATATCAGGGTGATGGCTGGAGCCCTGACTGAGCTACTTCTGATTTGGCAACCTGCTAACGCTCTGGAGGAAGATGGCCTGAGAACCTGGACCCCTGCTACACAAGTCAAAGACCCAGGAAGAGTTCCAGGATCCAGAATTTGATGTGGCCCAATCTTGGGCACTGTAGCCATTTGGGTAGTGAACCAGTGGATGGAAGATCTCTTTCTATAACTCTGTCTTTGGAATAAATATATCAATACTGGTAAATGAAATGAATGAAAGTACATTTTATGAGTCTCACAGATGATTCTGACATGGAGAAGGTTTGGGAGACACTGATTAAAAAACTCAGCCCTCAGGAACCTGATGAGGATGGAATAGAGACTCACGGTGGGGAGCAGGAGGCAGCCAAACTCCAACAATGTATTTGTTTAGCTTGAAAGGCAGAGTTAAGGAGATGGAGAGAGAGACAGGGAGATTGATTGATTTTCGGTCTGCTGGTTCACTTCCCAGATGGCCACAACAGCTAGGACTAGGACTGGGCCAGGCTAAAGCCAGAAATCAGGATCCAGCAACTGCATCTGGGTCTCCCACATGGGTGAGAAGGGCCCAAGCACTTGGGCCATCTTCTGTTGCTTTCCCAGGTGCATTAGCAAGGAGCTGGATCAGAAGTTGAGCAGTCAGGATATGAACCGATTCTCACATGGGATGCTTGTGTTACCCACAACACCAGTGCAAGCCCTGGTAGCTGAATTCTAAATACAGAGGAGTTTGTCTTAGAATGGATAAAAGGCTAGGATGTCCATACTCCATATATCAGAGTGCCTGGGTCTGATACCCAGCCCTGACTCCAGCTTCCTGCTAATAGAAACCCCACAAGGCAGCAGAGATGATGGCTCAAGTGCCGGTTCCTGCCACGCAGTGGGAGACCAGGATTGAGTTCCAGACTCCTGGCCTTGACCCTTGGCTTGGAGTCGTTGTGGACATCAAGGGAGTGAATCTGCAGATGGGAGCTTTCTCTGCCTGCCGAAGCAAAAGAAATAAAAAGCACAAGCATAAAAGGGAAGACAGGGCTTGGATCACCGAACTTACGTAGGAAGTCTTTTGGTTTCCATTTTTCTTTGATGAATATGATCCCTATGATGGCACTAGCTGGAAAAAAAAGAGCACAGAGAAAAGAGAACTGAGGTTGTTGTAGGTGAGACGGAGTCCCTTTGCCCAGGCCCCGTACTGGCTAGCCTGTGCTACTGCTGGGGACCTACTGGTTCACTCTCCCAGGAGCTCAGCCCACTCTGCTTCCTGTCACTGCACCAGGGAGAGGGGAGCTCCCCTTGCCCCCTACCCCCGCCCTCCAGCCCTCCTGACAGCTTCCCACAATGCAGGAGGCCTCTGTGTTGTGAACCTGTTGGCCAACAGGTGATTCACACATATTATTTCGGGTATGTCCGCCCTTAGAGGTGGGTGTGATTGCTATTTATTCCTACTTGACAAGTGGGGAGACTGAGGCTGACCAGGGGAAGGACCCTCTCAAGATCCCAGAGCTGAAATGGGAAGATCTGGAGTGTGGACTCAGGGGGCCCAGGGCCCTTGGTGCTTCCACTGTCACAGATGCCTCTGCCATATCCCTCTCAGGTTCATTGCTCTCCTGGGCCTTCCCACATTCTCTGTTGTCCTCAGGATGTGATGGCCCTAAAAGATGGGGCTGGTGGTCACCACAAACAGAGGCGGGCCACTCCCCCAGCTCCTCCCTCCTGGCCAAGAAAGAGTCTCTGGGAAGTCGCTCCACCTTCTGTGCTGGGTCTGGCTGGCACCAGTGTGCTAATCGTTAACTACTCAGAGGATCATGGGTAGCCTGAGATGGGCCAGCGAGGAGTGTGCAGTGCACCCACCACCACCATTCTGGCAAGGCCGGGAGGTCAGGTCTGTGTCGCCTCCCACTGCTTCATCCTTCCCTCCGCCTCATTTTCTTCTGTATTTCTAAGAATCTAGGTTTACAAGCACCTCACCAAAGATAACTGCTGCTCTGAATTATAGAGGCAATTAAATTATATACAAAAGCACTTCAAAAGTTCACAGAAAAATCTACATTATAAAAAAAAACTACACATGGACTTCCAAGTCTTTTTGGCACCAAAGTAAGCATTATTAATTACAATTGTCATTATTAATTACTGTATATATATAAACACAAGAGCTAGATTGAGTGAATACACTGCAAGAAAGCAGTGAGCAAGAAGGACAGATAGGTTCACCAGGAACCCCACAAGGACATGGCTTGTCACAATAAATAAGGTATTTTTATTAAACTGCTCTGAATAGATAAATCATTCATAACACAAACAGATAAATCATTCATAACTAATTTATGGTGATTATCACTTTTTAAAAAGGTAATCATGGGCCAGTATTGTGGGAGTGTAGCACGTTAAGCCATTATCTGTGATGCTTGCATCCAATATGGGCACATGTTTGTGCCCTGCTGCTCCACTTCTGATCCAGCTCCCTGCTAACGCAGCAGAGGGCAGCCCAAGTGCTTGGGTCCCTGTATCCATGTGGGAGAACTGGAGGAAGCTCCTGGCTTTAGCTCAGCCCAGCTCTTGTCATCACAGTCATTTGGGGGAATGAATCAGCAGCTGAAAGATTTCTCTCTGTAAAATTCTGCTTTTCAAATAAATAAAACTTAAAAAATTATTCGTATATTCAATTTAACATGTCCAGATATATCATTTCATGTAGTCAATATAAAAATCACTAATGTATCTTACTTTTAAAAAAAGGACTGTATCCGTGCCACAGGTGTATATTTTACACTCAGAGCACATCTTACGCTGTGAATGCTATGTGGGGCAGCACGGCAGTAGGTGTTGACTAGACGAGAGCCTGATGCGCCGGGTACTAACAGTTCGTGGATCAAGTTGTTTTCTTCATTTCCCATCATACCAGGAGACTCACAAGGTCAGACTGTTGCACTGCTCACAACACGAAGCGGCCATAGTTTTCGCCATGCAGGATGTTCCTTCTTTTCCACTAGAAGCCCTGGCTCCGCAGGAATATTCAGTTACTCGACCAATCGGCACCGGAGGACTCTGCATCTTCCCTTGAATCAACAATTCTGTGCTGCCAAGGGACGGGCTTCCTGTTCTCACCTCCTCCTGCAGGTGGGTCACTTTTCAGTAGGTAGCAGTTTTCCTTCCATGTCCTCTCTTTCTTGTTGTTTTAAATTTCTCAGACTACCATGTAAACACATGGTAAAATCCAAATATTCCTTCACACATTCTAAAGGTTCCTTTTCCATGGTATCCTATTTTTTCTTGAATGTAAATATTTCTCAAATTATTCCAAGTACACAGGGTACACTTGCTTTTGCTGAAGTTTAAAATCTATTATAGGAAAGATGGCAAAGAAATATGATTGAACTAGCTGGGGCCTAGACTCAGGCTACGGAAAGAGCCGGTTGGCCATCGGAAGTCCCCACTGAGGTTTTCCTCCCACCACCAGCTGAAGTCTTGCTGTTAAATATGCTGTATTCTGTACAACCATTTCTCCACTTTCTCTGAAAATATGCCTCAGGCCCAGCACAGATGGCTCATCTGGCTAATCCTCTACCTGCAAGTGCCAGGATTCCATATGGGCACTGCTTCGTGTCCTGTCTGCTCTACTTCCCTCCCAGCTCCCTGCTTGTGCCTGGGAAAGCAGTAGAGGATGGCCTAAAGCCTTGGGCCCTGCACCCACGTGGGAGACTTGAAAGAGGCTCCTGAGTTTGAATCGGCTCCAGCTATTGCAGCTGTTTGGGGAGTGAACCAGCAGATGGAACATCTGTCTATCTCTTTCTCTCTATAAATCTGCCTTTCCAGTAAAAATAAAGAAATTTTTAAAAAGCCCCATTTGTGGGCCCAGCGGTGTGGCCTAGCGGCTAAAGTCCTCACCTTGAACACACCAGGATCCCATATGGGTGCTGGTTCTAATCCCGGCAGCTCCACTTCCCACCCAGCTCCCTGCTTGTGGCCTGGGAAAGCAGTCAAGGACGGCCCAAAGCTTTGGGACCCTGCACCCGTGTGGGATACCTGGAGGAAGTTCCTGGATCCTGGCTTTGGATCGGCACAGCATTGGCCATTGCGCTCACTTGGGGAGTGAATCATCGGAGGGAAGATCTTCCTCTCTGTTTCTCCTCCTCTCTGTATATCTGACTTTCCAATAAATAAATAAAATCGTAAAAAAAAAAAAAAGCCTCGTTTGTTTCTTGATCTCCTACAAGCTGATTATTACTGACTTTGATGTTAACTTTTACAGTAACTTAGATGTTCTGAGGCCCCCTTTTCTCTCCTGAGCGACACCTGAAGTCCCTCTGTTACAACTCAGCCTTCTACGATGAGGATGATGCTATTTGATCCTTATTTAAGAGTCAGACTGATATTCAGTCACTCAGTCACTTCTTTCCTTACTGCAAAATTAAAAAAAAAAAAATCCTAGGAGCGCTTCTTAGCAGGGCAGGGAGGTGGACAGGTCTCCTTGTCTGCAATGACTGGGCAGCAACACAGCATACAGTAGTCAGGGGAAGGAAACAGGAAGAGGCTGAGACTGTGGCAAACTGCTTGTCTCAATCTTTAAAATCATTCAAATGACATCTTATAAAGACTGTACTTGGTATGCCTGAGGACCAATCCTGGCCAGGAAAAGAAGGCTTATGGTTGGATTGGGAAAGGCAGGTAAGTGTGCATTCTTCTGCCACCTCCTGGTGACTGCCTGGAGCTCCGAGGATTCCAAGGCCCTAGCAGCCTAGTTGGGGGGGGATGCGAAGCTTGGTTACAGATGTCTGCCTCGGGCACAGGAAGGAGCACACAGGAGCCATCCTCCTGTAGATGGGGCCCTTTAACGCAGGGAGCAATGACTGCAGACGTGACTTCTCCTTTAACAGCAGAGTGTTGCAATCCAGCGCTGGCCCGCACAGCGACCTCATGGTCACAGCTCCCACATGTTAAAACCACTGCTCGCTGATCAACCAGCATCATTTCTTGAAGATTTTTTTTTTTTAATTCTATTTGTGGCCTTGCAGGCATTGAAGCTGCTTTCCTTCACTCTGAAATACTGGCTTGGTGACTACAGGCATCACAGAAAAACGGCTGATGAGAAAGTTCAGGCTGTGATTGAGATGATGTCAGTGGAGGCCAAGGGCTCTCAGAGGAGGCTGAGCATGCGTTTCCTCGAGGCATACGGCAGCTGCATCCTTCAAAAGCTTGCTGGATCCCATGGGGTAACGCTGCATGAGCGAAGGCCCCGCCCTCTCGGGAGGAGGAGCAACAAGCTGCTGCACCTTGAGCAGCATCCGTGGCCATACATCTCACTTCACATCCCAGCCCTGCTAACACTCACAGCTGAACAATCTGGGGGAAGCAACTTTGCCACTGTGTGCCTCAGTTTCCCTAATGTGTAAAATGAGGATGATAACCAGCTCCCAGCTGATGCCCCTGGGAAAGCAGTGGAAGACTATCCAAGTCCTTGGGTAGCTGTAACCCATATGGAAGACCCAAAAGGGGTTCCTGATTCCGGCCTTTGGCCTGGTTCAGATGCAGCCATTGTGGTATTCATAGGAGTGGGCCAAAAGATGAAGGATCTCTCTCTCCCTCCTTGTCTCTTTGTAAGTCAGTCTTTGAAATAAAACAAAAAATTTTAATGGGAATAATAACAGTTCTTCCTCCAAAGTCTGTTGGGAAGATTTGATGTTCAGACCTGGAAAGCATGCAGGGCAGGTCCTGTGGGGTGAAGCCACCATTCCTGAAGCACAGCTGGTGTGTGTCCCGGTGTTGCCATGCAGGCCACGTGGGTAAACAGGTCCCTGGGGATGGGGGGAAGGCTGGGGCAGGGCCCTGCTCTTACCTATCACAGAGACTGCGCCGAGGGGCACGATGAGCGAGAGGGGAGCGAAGGCGTAGGAGGCGAACACGCCCAGCTCCCCCAGCAGCAGCAGGAATAGCCCGAGCCACCATGTCTTGGTCTTGAAGTAGGCCCGGGGGTCCTTGGTGCCTGCCAGGCGGATGTGGCAGTACTTCTAGAAATGTCAGAAAAGAAGGCAGTGTGTTCAGAGGCTAAGGGCAGAAATGCCAGGAGGCATGCGTGCATCCTAAACCTGCCCACCCTGAAGGTGTGGGGAGACCTCCCAGAGCACGGCTGTTCTGAGACAGCTGTCCCTCGTGGGCAGGGACCCTTACCCCTGCCCCCAAAACTTTGTGAAAACATGCATGCAGCCTTGGGGGAGAGGGGCTGACACCTGACAGTGGGCCTTTGTCACGCACATCACAGGCAGTGTGCAGTTGGGTGGGAGCTCTGATCTGAGGTTTCCCACTCTGGCCCGTCTTCCTCTGGCTGTGGTTAAGGCCTCCAATGGCCTTAACTGTGAACTCTCCTCCAACACATACACGTACATGCGACCAGTTCCCAGGAGAACCCAGAAGAAGCATCCTAAACTATCCAACTGCTCCAGACCCCAGTGTGAGCAGGTGGTGGGGGCGCATCCCCAGCAGCTGCCACGGACACCCCCAGACTTAAGTCGGGGACAGGCTCTAATCCGAATCAAATCTGATAACGTGATAATCCCATAGCCTTTCTGCAAGGCAAACCAGAGGGGAAGCGATTAGAGCCTGGGAGGGAGCGGTGGGGAGGGAGTAGGGGAGCTGAATGTAGAGATTCTGGAACAGCCCACTAGGTGCTGTCCCAGGAGCAGCAGAGAGAGAGAGAGAGAGAGAGAGAGAGAGAGAGAGAGAGAGAGAGAGAGAGAAAGACCGACCTTACAGAGCAGGGCTGGACCTGAACAAGCCATCTTAACCCATTGCTGCACCTGACCCCACACTTACCTGAAGGTTAAGTGCAATGCTGACCACAAGGTGCCCGAAAATGGCCAGGAGGGCACCAATCAAGTTTTCCTAGAAAGAAAGGTCACAGGAACATACATGAGTGGGGACACCTGTGATGTCCAGCAGTCTGCTGTCCCCACAGGGACACTGTCCTTCACCAAACCACAGCTCATTTTAGTACTCAGGCTGAAGCCAGTGGCCTTGGTGCTCTGTAAGACATTGCCCTGCATCAGAATTTCCCAGGAAACCCTTCGGTGGCTGCCTAGCAACAGAGACCTGACAAGGCTGAATCCTGCTCTGCCATGTCCCTTCTGGATTTGCCTGGCTCCCACACCACACAGAGAAGTGACCTTCAGAGACCGGAACGTGCAGAGGAAATGCAGGCAGGGCCACGTGTGCCATCTGCTTAGGGCATTTTCAGTTATTCATAAAAAGTTACTTTGAATTACCTTATCAGCAACATTCTCATTCCTTGGCATGATTTTTTAAAAGCATTTTATAGAACATTTAAAAAGATTTGTTTGCTTATCCGAAGGACAGTGACAGAGAAAGAAAGAGAGATCTTCCATCTGTTGATTCATTCTCCAAATGGTCACAAGAACCAGGGTTGGGCCAGGCCAAAATTAGGAGTCAGAGATATCCAGGTCTCCCACATAGGTGGCATGGATACAGACAGTTGGGCCATCTTCTGCTGCCCTCCCAGACCCATTGGCAGGAAGCTACATTAGAAGCTGAGAAGTGGGGCCTGGCATGGTAGCCTAGTGGCTAAAGTCCTCGCTTTGCATGCACCAGGATCCCATATGGGCACTGATTCTATCCTGGTGGCCCTGCTTCCCATCCAGCTCCCTGCTTGTGGCCTGGGAAAGCAGTGGAGGATAGCCCAGAACCTTGAGACCCTGCACCCATGTGGGAGACCCAGAAGAAGCTTGTGGCTTTGGATTGGCACAGCTCCAGCCGTTGCGCTCACTTGGGGAGTGAATCATTGGACAGATCTTCCTCTCTGTCTCTCCTTGTCTCTGTATATCTGCCTTTCCAATAAAAATAAATAAATCTTAAAAAAAAAAAAAGAAGCTGAGTAGTGGGCACACCAACCAGCACTCTAATATGGGATGTTGACAACATAATCACCAGCTTAATTTGCTGTCTACACCATCAGCCCCATCTTCTTAACAGCATATAAAATGATTAGTGTTCATTGTAGAGTATTTGGAAAATATAAAGAAATAATGAAATAATAGAAAACCCTTGTGTAATTCTATAACCCAGTGACAATGACTAAATATTGTAGGTTTTATTCCTGTCAGCTTCTTTCTGTCCATAAATTTAGACGTTAATGGAAATGTTCATATATGTTAGAAAAAAATTACAATCTGCTTTATAACTTGCTTTCAAATGTATGAGCACATGTCCCTGCCATGCATATCTAATGGATCACTTTTCATAAATAACTATCATTTGGCTGTGCCACTGGAGCTCAGTTCAGGTCTCCTATGCAGGTGTAAGGATTCAAACACTTGAGCCGCACTGCCTCCCAGGGTGTGCATTAGCAGGAACTGGAAGTGGGGTCGGGACTCGAGCTAGATATTCTGGCCTGGGATCCTTGTGTTATAAGCAGCAGCCTAACCTCTGCGCCAAACGCTCCACCACCCCAACCCCCACTTTCCTTTTTTATGAACAAGGCTGTGATGGATATCCCAGCACGCGTGTTTTCTGCACCTTGGTGTGGATGAGTCCCCTGGGATAAATGTCTAGAGGTGGGACGGATGGGCCAGTGTACTTGGTTTAGCATTTAGATCAACACTATATCATGTCTTCAGCAACCAACCCTCCAGTGTAATCCCGCTGCCAAACACAAGAGGACTACTCAATTTCAGCCCAATATGGGTCCTCTCTTCCCTGGACAAGCCTTTGCAGCCTCTCGTGTTTATGAGGTTCACCCCAGCTGTGGCCCTCCTTGGGGATTCCTGCTACCTCTAGGGCCGTGGTCCTAGGGACCCAGCAGGAAGCAGCATCAGCAGCATATTTATTCTCCCAGACAATCTAAGGCTCTCTCATTAGGACACAGCAACAGGGGTTCTTCCCTGTTCCCATCCTCCACGTGGGATGAAGATGCTCTGAGAGAGCTGGGGTGAGGCCTTCCCTGAGAGCAGCAAGTGGGGAGAGCACCCCACTGACCGAGGTCACCATGAGGCTGACCTTGGCTCTTGGCAGCAAGGTACAAGGGATAGGGCTGAGCCAGGAGCCCAGAGCCTGAATTCTAGACCCTTCTCCGTCATCATTTCACTGCAACTATAGCCAGGTCCCTCCTCCTGAGCACGCTGGTGCACCCCTGTCCCTCATCTGGAAGATGCAAGTGCTGGCTCAGATGACCACTGAGATCCTGCATCCCTGACCTAAGGCAGGATGTCAACAGACCCCAGGGAAAGACCAGGCCAGACACAACTGACCCCAATTTACCTTATGAACGTCTAAAACAGAAACCCTGCTCTTTCTGTGGACGTAAAAGGGCCACTGGTCAGTCTCTCCCTCCCTCTCTTTCTCTATTTCAAATACACAAGTCTTAAAAAAAAAGAAGAAAAGAAATATAAGGGGGTGCTGGTACTGTGGAATAGCAGGTAAAGACACTGCCAATAGTACCAACATCCACATAGGTGCCAGTCTGTGTCCTGGCTGCTCCATTTTTTATTCAGTTTCCTGCTAATGCAATGGGAAAGCAGTAGAGGATGGCCCAAATACTCGGGCCCCTACATCCACGTGGGAGACCTGGAAGAAGCTCCTGGATCCTGGCTTCAATTTGGCTTAGTGGTGGCCATTACAGCCATCTGAGGAGTGAGCTAGCTGATGAAAGATACTCCCCAACCCCATAACTCTATAACTCTATCAAATACGTACATAAATCTTTAAAAAACAAAAACAAAAACAAAACAGGTCCCTGGCAGGGTGGGTACTTGGCACAGTGGTTAGGATGACGAGTGGGACACACACCTGTCATTCTCAGAGTTTCTGGGTTCAAGTCCCAGCTCCACTTCCACTTTTAGCTTTCTCATATACACCCTGCATGGCGCAGGTGATGGCTCAAGTTGGGTTCCTGCCACCAATGTGGGGGACCCGGATTCTGTTTCAGGCTCTTGGCTTTGGCCTGGTCCAGTTGTGGCATGTGGACATGTGGAAGGTGACCCAGAGGATGGAAGAGCTTTCCATGACTATTTCTGTTTCTGTCTTTGCCTTTCAAATAAATAAGCAAAACTTTAAGTCTCTAGGGAGCAGATGAGAAGTTCCATAACTGGGAGCTCAGAGGTGTTAATTTGTTAAGAAGATCAAGGCAAGAAAGTGAGTCTTGGACCTGCTGCTTGGGGGACCACATTGCACATGCTAGGGGCTCCTGAAAGATTCTCTGTGCTGACCCAGGCTTCTCAAAGCCATCTGGTTGCTGGTTTGGGGCACAGTGGGTAAGCTGCCACTTGCAACACCAGCATCCCATATCAGAGTGCTGGTTCATTTCCTGGCTGCTCTACTTCCAATCCAGGTCCCTGCTAAACAGCAGATGATGGCTCAACTGCTTGGGCCCCTGTCATCCACATGGGAGACCTGCATGGAATTCCAGGTTCCTGGCTTTGTCCTCATCACTGTGGTCATTTGGAAAGTGAACCAGAGAATGGAAACATCTCTCTCTCTTTCTGCAATCCTGCTTTTCAAATCAAGCAAGCAAGCAATCAAGGCTGGGAAGCTGAGGCTCCAGGATGGGAGATGGGGTGGGGAGGGTGGTTCCCAGGCTTCTTTGTGACCTAGAACTTCCCAGTGGAGGAGCTAAAGAAGCCAGAGCCCTGGAAACACCAACAAAACAGAATTTCTCCCTTGTTCCAAGGCCCAGGGAGTAGTGGTAAAACAGAAAGAAACCTCCTGGACAAGAATCCCTACTGTAAACCCTGGGAGAAACATATGCCCTGTGCCAGCCTGGGCTGATGGAGGACCCAGACACTCACTCCTCGAGGTTGTTCAAAACACCTGCTGAAATCTAAGTGTTGAGTCCTCCCAAACTCTTGGGTTGAAGGCCTAACCTCCAGGATGATGGGTTTTCTTCTTTATTTTGAAATTCTTATTTATTATAGAGAGGGACAGACAGATGACAGATAGATCTGCCATAGCGGATTCACCCCCCGGATGACCACAATAGCCAGGGCTGGGCCAGACCAAAGCTAAAAGTCTAGAACTCTACCCCGGTCTCCCACATGGGTGCCAGGGAACTAAGTATTCTGGTCATCAATGTTGCATTGATGAAGTAGCTAGAAGAAGCTCCTGGCTTTGGAACAGGTGCATTGCCAAGGAGCTTGCTTAGACATGAAGCAGTTAGGACAAGAATTGGAGCCCACATGGGATGCTAGCATTGAAGGCGGTCCAATGATTCACTCCCCAAGTGACTGCAACAGTAGGTGCTGCACTGATCCAAAGCCAGGAGCCAGGAAGCTCCTCCAGGTCTCCCACACTGGGTGCAGGATCCCAAGGCTCTGGGCCATCCTTGTCTGCTTTCCCAGGCCACAAGCAGGGAGCTGCATGGGAAGCAGGGCTGCCGGGTTTAGAATCAGCGCCCATATGGGATCCTGGCACATGCAAGGCGAGGACTTTAACTGCTATGCTATCACACCGGGCTGTCTAGCATTCATTTTTTTAAAAAGATTTATTTTTAAAAATTTATTTTTTATTACAAATTCAGATATATAGAGAGGAGGAGAGACAGAGAGGAAGATCTTCCGTCCGATGATTTACTCCCCATGATTTACTCCCCATGATTTACTGACCACAACAGCTGGCGCTGCGCCGATCCAAAGCCAGGAGCCAGGAACCTCTTCTGGGTCTCCCATGCAGGTACAGGGTCCCAAGGCTTTGGGTTGTCCTTGACTGCTTTCCCAGGCCACAAGCAGGGAGCTGGATGGGAAGTGGAGCTGCTGGGATTAGAACCGGTGCCTATATAGGATCCCGATGCATTCAAGGTGAGGACTTTAGCCACTAGGCCACGGTGCCGGACCCTAACATTCATTTTTAATGCACTGTTTTAGTGGATAATTATTGTG